GGCACCAGAGCAGGTCCTGCTCAGCTCATTGCAGTGACCCCCACAAGCCAAGCAGACCCAGCCCATGGTACCTTCCCAGGCCGTGGCTGCTCCCAGGCAGGAGCACAAGGTGCCACCACCTCCAGCAAGAGGCTAAAGGACCTCCTTTCATCTCTGCATGAGGTGTCACCCTTTATAACCTCATCAAGCTAATTAGGCTTTCCATCAAGTTAATTAGCCTTCCCAGGTGGAATCCTTTCCAGGATAGGAGTTGTCTTCCTCCCCTTAGCTCCTCCCTGCCTACTGGGAACTGAGGACTCAGCCTATACTGGTTTCATGCCATTTAATTCCTTTTAAACACAAGATGAAAATCTCAATCAGCCTCAGAGCAGTTTGGGCCTTGCTACCTACTGAAAAACTGATGGAAACTGAAGCAAGTACAGCATAAACCCCAGGGAGCTGACCAAAGCTCCCCACCACCTCCAGCCTTCTTCTTGGATGTCTGGTTGCATCCAAGTCCTCACCCTCCCTTTACCTCCGTTTTCAGCTGACACCTGGACAGAGCAAGGCAGCCAGGGAACCCAGCCCTGTCATCACAGTAACATGTGGCCAACCTCCCATCCCAGGGATAGCAGCTGGTGGTCCAGCAGTTGCTACAGGGGAGATGGACCAGGCAAAGCCACAGTCCTGCCACACCACCCAGGAGGAAACACCAGGGATGGCCCAGCAGGAACACAGCATTCAGCTGGGGCACTTGCCTGGAGAGAGAAAATCAGGACAGGCCTCTAGGAGGGGAGAAATCCAGAGGCAAGCAGAGATAGGAAAATCCACTCAAGTGTTTGCTTAAAGTATTGGATAAAAAAACACATTATAAAGTATATTTAATTATTGTGCACTTTACCTTGCAGAGAGCAAGAGGCAGCAGCTGAAGTTCTCTGAGCCTTGGCAGGGGTAGCTGGTCCCTATCCCTGCACAGAACCTAGCACCACTGTCAGGAAAAAAGTGATTTTCCATTGCTTTTATGAGCTGAGGAAGCAGCAAGATTCCTTGTACAGCTGCCTTGGAAGGAGGAAACACTACTGACCCCCCAGATGGTATCAGCTGGGTGTCTCTAATGTCTGTGTGCAAAGCACATGCATGAAGGGACCTCCCCAGGCACCAAGGTGCTCACACCAGGGCAGAGATGCTGAGATGTTTAATTGATGCATCCTGGGCTGCATCCCCAGCAGTGTAACCAGCTGGGCAAGGGAGGGGATTATCCCCTCTGCTCCACTCTAGTGAGACTTCCCCTGGAAAACTGGGGCCAGTTCTGGAGTCCCCAACACAGGGAGGACATGGAGCTGTTGGAGAGAGGCCAGAGGAGGCCCCGGAGATGCTGGGAGGGCTGGAGCAGCTCTGGAGCCAGGCTGGGAGAGTTGGGGTGTCCAGCCTGGAGAGGAGAAG